TTTTTTGTTTTGTTTTTTTGGTGTCGGAGATCGAACTCAGATCCTTCCGTTTGCGCAGCAGGCGGTGAAACCACTGAGCCAAATCCCCGGCCCAAGGCCATATGCTTAAGTAAAATAAATAGGATACATATGTGTAAATACCGAATAGTTTTTCTAGTGTGAGAAACTAAAAGTGTAAATAAGGATTAAAATGATTAAAATGAATAACTGATAATTTGAAATAGGTAGAAAAGGTCCAAAGGGGTAGGGGAAGTGGAAGGGGAAGGGGAAAGGAAAGAAGGGAAAGGAAAAATTGTGAGAAAAGAAAAAAATGGAAATAAAGTCTATGTAAATAGGGAAGGGTGGAGGGAGTGAAGGGCACACAAGTAATGGGGAAAAAATAAGAACCAAGATACATCACGTAGAGATACAAGCAACCCAGTGATAACTGTAAATGGACTGTATACCTAAAATGTACCAATAAAAAAATTTAAGGAAAAAAAAAAGGTCAGAAAGAAAGAAAAGACAAAAGCTTTTAAACTACAAAGAATAAAAGACTAAAAACTCCAGCTTAAAAACCAGATGCATAAAAAGTAGTGATATTACTGTAAATCTTACCAGCCAGAGTCCAAAAGGCAGGATGGCAAATCATTTTACTAAGAGCTGAAGCTTTCTGGAGCTGGAGATGTCTAACAAAAGACTAGTGTTGAGAATACATCAAAAAATGAGTTTAAGGGCCGGAGATTTAGCTCAGTGGTTCCGGTGCCTGCCTAGCAAGCGCAAGGTCCCGACTTCAATCCCCGGTACCAAAAAAAATAAAAAATAAAAAAATGAGTTTAGAGTGAGGGGTAGAACTCAGTGGCAGAGTGCATACTTAGCATGGAAGAGGCCCTGCATTCAATCCTCAGCACCTAAATAAAGAATTTTAGCACCGATGCTTACAAATATATTAAAAGTCTTTGAATTCTTTTTCTATAGTACTCTATCATTTTCTTTTTCTTTTTTTTTTTTTTTTGAGACAAGGTCTCACTATACAATTCAGGCTGGCCTTGAACTTGCAGTGGTTCTCCACTCAGCCTCCCAAGTGCTGGGATTGCAGGCGTGCACCACCACACCCAACTTGATTTCTAATTTTAATACTAAAAGACCATGTTATAATAAAGGATCAAGATTAATTACTGTGAAATAAAAAATACTCAAGACCAAGTTGTCTTTAATTAGCAGGCATTTCAGAAAAGACAATTTGAAGGACTGAGACCACAAACAGAAGCTGTCATTAGGAACAAAGTCCAACCTTTTGCTTCTACTGATAATGTTCTGGGTCTTCGGATCCTCAAAAATGCTCATATGTAGTCATTCATGACCCAACATACATAGTGGATAACACAATTCAATACGTAACCAGGCTCGTCAGAGCACAGGGTGATTACCACTCCACAATGTTGATACAAAAGCTAAAGATCTCTGAAGTTCCAATCACATGAAGACGAACTGAGCCTCTGTGCAGTTACTCATTCAGAACAGAAGTGGAAGATTAACCTACCCTCACTTTCCTTCAGACTAGTCTGACAGAGCAGCAGGCAGCATCTCTTCAGAGTTTGTTCATCATCCAGTCCATCCCAGAAGCAGCCAATTAAATCCTGCATCCTCAGATTGCTACTGTTTCATTATTGCCCTTTATCAATCCACTCTGTCCCACCTCATCTTTTCTGGCCAGACATTCCTGATGAAATGAAGTCTTTCTTGTCCCTTTTTTGGGCATTATCAAGTTTTCCTTTTCTAAATACTGTAACATTCTCCTAAGCCTTACTTACCTGCAGTTCACTGCACTGGGTATCACCCAAATAGCCCATCAGAGCTCTTTATAATTTCTGAAAGAGAGAGAAAAAAGCTTTTAAATATTGAGTAGAAAACAGCATTGGCTAATGCATCAGTTCTGAAGTATTTGTGTCCAATATACACAAAATCGGGTCGGGGATTTAGCTCAGTGGCTCCGTCACCTGCCTCACAAGCACAAGGACCCAAGTTCCATCCCAGGTACCAAAAACAAACAAACAATATGCACAGAATCTGCTCTTTTGGCCCACAGTAATTCAATCAAATGTAGCATAAGCAGCAGTGGACCAAAAGTCCTGAGATAAGCCTCCAGAGATAAAAGTTTGCTTTAATGTTGCTACTAGTGAGCTGTGTGACCTTGGTCAAGTCACTTTCTCCAAGTCTACACTTCCTCATGTAAAAAAATAATAAAGCTGGACTAGCTAGAGATAACAGCACAAGCTTTCCAAAAAGAATACCATCTCCCCTATCTTATTGGTCTTGTGGCATTACATAAGTTCACATTTAAGCCTAAATTTCTTCCCTTGCAAGATGTAAATAACAACTGTCTTGTTAGTTGTTGTAAGAATAAAAGGAGATGAGCTATAAAAAGTCCATAGTAAATATATTGTGCAGCTTATCACAAAATTTAACAGATGGCAACTCATTACCACCACTCCCCTTGCCACAAGATTACAATGAATTCAATTCACAAATATTTCCTTAAAAGATCAACAAATCAAAACTTTACCAACCTGACCAGAACTGAACTGAGCGTTTAACAATTCAATTATAATTATCTTAATCTGATGCTAGTTTGAGTATCACTATTAACATCTCAGTAAGAACAGAACAGTCTGCACAAGTTCAATAACCACGCATCTCCTGATTTCTCACTCTAATTTCACTATTGCCAGTATATTCTGGGAAAACAGAGGTTTTCCAAAAGCAAAGGAGAGCAGAACTACAGATAGAGGAAAAACAGAGGGCTTTCTTTTTTCATTTTTTACTTTCAGAACTGCTCAAATTAGTTTACCATGAGCATGCATGATTTTTGCATAAAGATAATTTTTAAACTACATTAAATATACTGCCTCCTAAAGGAAAGCTTATGTTATAGAAATATTTCCACCATAACAAGAATTTCCAAAGAAAACAAAAAGGCAAATTCAGATATGCCAAGAATACCTAAAATATGACACAGAAATAAAAATCACAAATACTCATTACTTCAGAATGAGTTAAGTCAAAAATTATGCCATACATTCTTTGAAAATCTGATGATGAATCAGCTTTTTTTTAATTCAAAAAAAAGACAAATGCATAAACTCTGGTTTCATCAGACAGCTTCCCACTCTCAAGCGGAAACTGACCCAGTACAATTTATAAGGATAAACAAGTTGGTATGACTATTAGAGCCTGAGTTGGGAAAATTTCCATTCCTTTTGGATACTGAAAAATTAACAAAATAATTCTTATATATATAGCAATAATGTATATTTATATATAACATATACATGTCTTTGTATTAGATCTGTGAGAGTCTTCAAAGAGGACTACGAACTCTGTTAGATTCAGGATTACTAAAAAGCATTATCTCAGCCACCCAAAGTGGCTAGAACATTATCTCAAAGTGGTAGAACATTATGCTTCATGCTTCTTCTAGTCAATGCTAAAGAAGTAACCCTGATTCATCCATGAATTGAAGTGAATTATAAGCTGGTATGGCTATATTCTCCAGTGATATACTTCTAGATAATATTTCAAAATATTACTTAGAAATTTGCAAGCATATTTACCTAAGTCTATGAAAATAAACACCCCTGATAACTTACTTATAATGTTTTTAAGTAGTTCCTTTCTTGGGTGACTACTGTTGAAAACTTAGTCCCAAATCTTTTATACTTTGAAACAACAGGCAAAGGGGCTTATTTCTTGTAATGAGCTTGTTTTTGGATCTTAAATATAGTTTAACACACAATTATGGGCTAATCTACATTCAATATTAATGCCACCCCTACTTTTTATACCAAGGACACAAATGCATTTGAAAGACTTGGTCTACTTAATTCTAGGCCCCTCTGCACTATTATTAGCCTTTCATAAATACACTGTAGATTTTTTAATTACTTAGGGCCCTTTGTAAGAAGAAATGATTTCTCCTGTTTTGGCATCATTTTCCTCTCCTGTGAAAACTGGACAATCTATGGATGTGCACAGTCTTTTAAGACAACGTAGACTGAATGTTTATGCCATTAGAAAATGAACTTTTTCCTAACAAGTGCAAAAATCAAGTTTACCACCTGATAGAGAGGTACAGGACTATATTTACTGACTCCCAAAAAATACTGCCTTGCCTAAAAATAGTGTCCTAGCTTCCTAGCCAAAGCACAAACTAGAAAAGCTGTCTTTATTCAGTTGAAACACACAGACTTCTACTCCAGCACAACCTTCAATACTACGCTATTTCTCATTTTAGAATATGGTAGGTACTTTGTGTAACACGTTGTTTGGTAGTCAACCACTAGCTTCACTTTGAAGTGAATACTATCACTTGTTTGTAAGTGTGAAAAATGGAAAATGCCTTCACATAATTCAGGCCAATCAATAATAGCCACACAAGATTACTTTCTAAATATTCAGTTTTAGACTACAAATGAACATCTCCATAAACAAAAAGCAGATCACTGGTTCCTTTCCATAGAACAATCTACAGGTTTTAAAGAAACAAGATAAAAAGTTCCATCTAGGTCTAAGGCATGAAGATCTATCTACAATCTGATATTTGTAGATATTTGCTCTGCCAAGAATTAAAATTATATGTAAAGTTCGATCCCTGGTACCAAAAAAAAGTTGTATGTAATACACACAAGCACTACTGAGTTTCAAACAAAAAAACGCAATGATCTATGTCCACCTTCATTCTCCAATGTTTTATGTGTATATGTGTGTGGTTTCTTTGTTTTTGTTTCTTGAAACAGGGTCTCACTATCTAGTTTAGGCTGGCCTTGAACTTGTTATGTAGTCCAGGCTGGCCTCAAACTTGTGGCAATCCTCCTGCCTAAACTGGCAGAGTGCTGGGATGACAGGATTGTGCGACCACGCCCCACCTGTGTGTTTTAAAAGGCACAATGTCAGTTACATGCCTCAATCTAGAAAAATAAAGCATAGGTTTTTCTTCTTAAACAGATGTTATAATACATAGGAAGTTTGTAAAAGGATTTCAAAATCCAGAAGCCCAGACATTAATGGAAAAAGACCACAATAACCAATTAATTGACCATAATTACTTATATTTTTCTAAAGCAACCATAAGATACTTTTTTTTTTTTTTTTGGTACCAGGGATCAAACTCGGGTCCTTGCGCTTGCAAGGCAGGCAGCGGAACCACTGAGTTAAATCCCCAGTCCAACCACAAGATACTTTTAAAGTTGAGAAAACTGGTTGTGAAAAATGTAAAACCAGCAAACTTCTCTCCTTCTCCCCAGCAGACAAGTTGTCCACTAACACTATTACCAATAGTGTCCTTTAAACCCAAAGCATTACCAGTAGATTAAATAAAACAATACTTATAATTCATACACTATGTATGACCAGAAAATGACAATTTAGTCTTATCCCTAATAAGTTAAACAGAACTCAATACTATCATTTTTATTTCAAAATAAGTACTGTACTACAGAGACAAATACTATTCCATTTTTTAAAAGTAAAAGAAGCCAGGAATATGGCTCAGTGGTACAGCACTTGCCTATTACAAGTGAGAGGCCCTGGGTTACATCTCAGCACTACAAAAAAACCCTAAAAATTTTAAAATTAAAAAAAAGCTGGAGTGATGAACTTGTCTAAAATAACTCTTTCCAATAAAAAGTATATACTTTACAAGAATCCCATAAACTGCACAAACTCTACACAATCCCTTATACTCAATGTAGTGTAAGCAACTGACATCAAAACAAATAAAAGACATTCAGTTAAAGTTACAAAAGGAAATTTGAAGAGGCAAACTATCCTCCTGGAGAAGACACTGATCAAGGATAGCTGCAAATAACATTTGGCTCTGGATAAGCTCTACTGTGTTTGAATATGCTGGCACCGCTAAAAAGAGTGGCATTTGACATATTTTTCATTTCTAAATCCAGCCCAGCTCATATCCCATTTGACTGAGTGATACATTTGGAAAATAAAGATGGCCCCAGAAAATAAAGATGGCCCCACTGAATTACTAAGTTTCTGCCTTACCCTTCAGAGTTGATTAAAGGTAAAAAGGAAATCATTTTTAACTGCAGTCTCACCTTACACATCTCACCAGCACTGTAGTTCGTTAGTGATCAATTATTTCATCCAATTCCTGAGGCAAACAGAAGTAAAATGTGTCTATACAATACCAGAAACAGACATTATCAGTGGCAAACATTTTATCAGCCTGAAGTAAAAGAGCATCTAAATTTCAAAGGAAAGTTACAAAAATGGTACAGTATGCAGCTTTGTAAATGTTTCTTCTACCTTAAAATGAAAACATTTCCTTTCAGTAAAGATAAAAGATTTAAAATGCTCTTAAAATTTTTAAAAAGTCATCTTTTTCAGCCCTCATGGACCGTACTTTAAAAAAACAAATGCAGAAATCTCACTAATGAGTTTAAGACAGGGCACAATTCAGAACTAGCCATGCCAATGCCTCCCTCCTTCTCCTGCTCCAAGAATCCACTAACTCTACAGTTACACTTTTTATTACATTAATGACTTGCCTGAAAAGTGTAAGTTGTAAGGGAAAAGAAATGACAATTTTTGAGCTGAAAACAAAATCTAAGGATCCTAATTCAAGAAGAATCCGAAGACCCTAGCTTCCAGCCCTGTCTGAAGGATCCTCAGCAAACTCAAAGGGGCAAGACTCAAATACTGTAATTTGGGGGAGAGGAACCAAAAGTTTCCTAGGTAAGACTGCAGTCTCCGAGCCCTTGAAAAGGGAACTCCTGAGGAATCGCCAGGAAGAGATAGTCTGTTTATATTTTTGTTGATGTGTTTGTGGGCCAGGGAGCATTTGTGAAAAGGGAGCAGGGACGGGGGGACCAAAGTGAATCTCAGCGAACCCCGCGCGGGAGAGAGGGCACACCCCTGACCCACTTTTCCCGACCACCCCCCCCAGCGGTCCCCGCCCAAGCCGGGTGGAAGTCCGCGCCTGGCGGGAGGAATCGAGCGGGGCGTGGGAGGCCCGCACGCTCCCCACCCCCAGCCGCGACCCGGAGGAGGGGAGCGTGAGAGGAGGCTCAGTTCCCCCTCCCAGAGTGGCCCGCGCTGGGGCAACCTCCCGCAGGCTCCGGGCCAGAGTGTGCAAGCCCCCCCCCCCGTGGCCTGGGCCCCGGGCGCCGCGGCCCCCAGCGGAGGGGAAGGGGACCAAGGAGGGGAAAAAGCTGTAAACAGCCCCAGCGTCCGGGCCTCGCCTCGAAGAGCCCCGCTCCCCGGGCCCCGCCGCGGGCCGCCAGGGCCCCCAGTCCTCCCCGGAGCCGCCCCTCCCGGGGCCCAGGGAACCCCAAGGGAGTCGGAGCCCCTCTGCAGAGGGCTCCGCGGTCTCGCGGAGCGGCCCCGGCAACAGAGAAGGGAGAAGTCAGGACTTACCTGTCATTACTTTCTACGCCATCTTGGATCCACTTGTCAACGTCCCCACAAAGCATTATGGGTAAGAAAGAGCCTTTAAAGTGACTCCCCCCCCTTGGCCCCCGACTCCCGCCTCCCGCCGCCGGCGCCGCCCCCTACGGCCGCACCTCCCTCCGGAAAGTTGCCTGGGGAAGCAGGCAGGCCCCTGCGCCCGCGGCCCGGCCCCCTACCCGCCTGCGGGACTTTGCGTTTAAAATCAACCCTATTTTTAAAATGTAGCTTTGAGGTTTTCTCTCCTGGCTCCGGCCTCCCTTCCCCAGCCGTGGCCTCCACGCCCGTTCCTTTTGCCCCGCAGCTCCCCTGCCCTGCCAGACACCCCACGCCTGCATTCAATCAGCCCGAGGTTTCCCTCGCGCTGGCGGCGGCTCGCGGCTCGCTCACTGACTCCACGTGCGCTCTGCTCAGCGCCCCTGCTCCGGGTCTTCGTGCGCCGCGCGGGCTCCCGCACTTCCCGCCCCCGGGCCGTAGCCGCGCGGGGCCGCCCCGGGCGCTCCGTCACTGCGCGGCGGGACGGGCTTCGGTCCTAGCCCGGCGCTCTGGGGCCTTCTGGCTCCGGGAACTGATCGGACACCATATCCCCAAGGCAACCAGCCATCGAAGCGCAATAGGGGGGATGGGGGAAGAGAATAAGCTAAATGTAACTTTTACCCCCTGTTTACTCTGACTCTTGCTGTCTCTTCCATTCGGCCCGTAACGTGATCCGAGACCCTCTAGCTGGGACCCCACCCCTAGGAATGTAACTTCGGACTCCGAGGGGACCAGTCCGTTGGGGGCCTGGCTGGAAACTGGAATTTCCCGGGGCAGGTAACTTGGGGCAGCGGCTTCAGATTCGGGGCGGGGCGTGCCAGGGCCGAGGGGAGGGTCCGGGACTGGGAGAAGGCTGTGGCCGTAGCAGTCCACCTGCCCGGTTCCTACCGGGCGGCGACAACTAGCGGTGGGGCCAGGGGTGGAGCGCGGACGCCGCTGTGCCTTGGGGTCGGGGAGAGAAAGGGGACGCAGAGTCACCCGGCTGCGGCCCGGAGCCGAATGCTGGTAGAAACAGGCGACCCGGCGCCGGACTGCCGGGGATCCAAGCGAGACCTTGCGGACACCCGCTGTACTCTGGCGAAGCCGAGCTCTCTCCCCCGCCATTCCTGTTTGCTGTGGTGGCGCAAAGCCCGCGTCCTCGCGCAGACGACCCCCCCCGGAACCCCCCCCCCCACAGTCTTCCCAGAGGTTGAAGTGTCTCCTTTGGTAACTTAGGGGACCTGCTCTGGTTGCTTCCCTCCCCCACCGCACCCCCAATCAAGGTTTGGTGTACAAAAGGTGTCCAAAAGAAAGCATGACTTTCGGGTTAGGAGTATAGCTCAGTGGTAGAGCACCTCTTGGTATTCGTGAAGCCCTGAGTTCAGTCCCTGGCACCACCACTACCACCCCGGAAAAAATAACAACAACAAAGAAAGAAAGAAAACTTCCAAAACTGTATTCAGCACAAAAAGCTGTTAAATGGCTCAACAATTAGGAGAACACACCCTTTCCACGAAGGGAGGGCCTTTAGTCGGCCCTAGGGTGGAGCCTGGGGTTCGGCAAGATTCCAGATCCTACCAGAAGCCCTCTCTAAGAACCTGGACGGTTGCTGTCAGGAGCCCTGCCCCAAGGGAGCCAAAAACTCCACCCGGCAATTGTCCAGCCGGAAGAGGAGAGAGGGGTGTGACCTCATTAAGGGATTGGCCCCGGGGTCACTGGTGAGGAAGGGAGCAGGGAATGAGTCACTCCCAGCCGGTTGCAGATGAAAGACCTCCCCTGAGTCACCCTATTCTGGCAAACTGGAGCCAAAAGCCTGGTTCTTAGAGGCTCCTGTCCTGGGAGCTCCTCCGAGGCCATCTGCCGCCTCCCAGTGAAAAGCCTCTTCTGACTGTGGAAGGCTTCAAAGTCCTCTTTCCGAGGTACCCCGGTCACTCCTCTTCCAGCTCCCTTTTCACACTTAGCCACTCCTATGCACCGGTTTAATAACCAGTTGCCTTGTGTTTACATGGCCCTTTTAAGTGTGAGATCTGATCTTCTTTATAAGTAAACACTAATAAACCAAGGGCAAGGACTGTGTCTCCCAAACATGCTTCTTTGGTTTTAGGTAGGCTCTTTGCCTTGCACAGGTCTTGACCCAGAGAAATGTTCAGTCTGTGTGACTTCCTGAAGCAGTTTGTGTCCTAGCCCATCCTTGTCCAAGACACCACCTGCTGCCTGAGCTAGGAGTGCCTCCTCACTCTTCTTGCCTCCCCTCTTCCAAAAACAGTCTGTTGTCCATCTGACCAACCTGGCGACATTTGTGAAATGTAAAACAGATCTTATGATTTTCTATACCTGCCAAAGGCTTTCCCACTACTCTTGGAATAAGGCCTGAATTCCCAACTGGAGCTACAAGCTCCTGTGAGATGGCCCCGCCCCGTCTTCCCTCCCTCCTGGAAGGGGCCAGGCTGGCCTTCTTTCTTCCTGCCAGATAAAATCCTGTTTACCCAGATCTCCCTGACAGTCCTCATCTGCTCACACTCAAAGGTGACCTCAAAGAGAAATTTTGTGTTATCATATTGTATACCTAAAATGTACCAATAAACTTAATAAATTTTAAAAAAGAAATTCTATGATCCCCTTAAGCAAAACAGCACACTACCGCCTACCTGTGGTAGAAATTGTCTCAACTGTGTTATTTGTCAGTAATGGTCTGCTCCACTCCCATTAGAGTACCAGCTCCCTAAGGGCACAGGCCTTCTCTAACTTGGTACTCTCCCTGCCTAGGCCAGGGCCTGTCACTTAGATACTTAGCAAATATTTGTTGAGTAAGTGACCAAACTGTTATCAGAGGAAGGGGATGGTGATGAAAGGGGGGTTCTGAAGCCTGAAAAAAAACCACCCTTCCTCTCTTCAGACTGCTCTGACCCTCTACAGCTTGATGAGGTCAGCAGATAGGAATGGGGGTAGAGGAGAAAGGGCCTTTTGGCTGACATCATCCTGGCTCTGTTCCGATTCTGATCTGATGAACACACAGAGCCCCAGCACATCCCTCATCTTCTCTCCCTGCAATCCAAGAAGACACCCTGACTACTTAATGAGATCAAGGCTCAGTCCTTGGGGATTTTGTCTTCAATTACACCCTGTGGTCATCTCTTTCAAGGGTTTAAGTTCCATTTTCACCAGAAGGACACCCAAACCTCCAGCTCTATCCAGAGCTTTCTCCTGAGCTTCAGACTCTTGTCCAACAACTTCTTGACATCTCCAGTTGGATCTCAAGACTTCTCAATTACTGCATGTCCTGAGACTGGAGCTAGAGAAACAATAGGCAGCTAGGACTTGGACTTGAGTAAAATGAGTAACCCTTGGGAAAACACAAGGGAAAGGGGCTGACTGATGTTTGCTGTGAGAAGCTGAGGGGGGGGATGCTCTGATGTCCAAAGGCCCAGCTAAAAAGCAGCAACGGTATTGTTTCAAAGGACAGGGGCCTGGGTAAACGGAGATAAACCCTGCAAAGTTGGGGTACAAGGGAAATCTGCCCCTCCTGACAGCAGAAGTCTAGCTAAAAGCGGTAACCACATTGTTTCATCTCATTTTTACAACCCTGACCAAAATAGCTCAACAAAGTACATGGGAACCCCTGAACTTGGGCAACTCCTTGGCCAGCAAAGACCTCTTCTCTGCTCTTTCTAATAAACTATACTTGATTCATTCCCCAGTGCTGTGTCCTGGACTTAATACTTTGTCGTCTTCAGGACAAGAGCCCAAAGGAAGGAGAGAACTGGTTACACACAGAGCTCAATTCTTGATCTCCCCGCAAACATGTCCTTCACCATGCTGTTCCCTGGTTCCATCACTAGCTTTTCCATCCTTAAAATCGGTCCAGCCACAATCCCTCCTGCATTTCTCTCAAACTCCACCTTCAATCTGTCTTCAAACCCTGCTCTGCCTACACAGTGTATTCAGGAGCTGACTGCTTCCCATCCTTTCCATCCTCACTATTCTGGTCCAGTCCACTGTGGTCTCTTCAGTCTGTTCTCATCATGGTTGCCACCCTGGTCTTGTTAAAAACCAGGTGAGGGCCGGGGATTTAGCTCGGTGATTTTGCTGCCTACTGCCTACTGCATAAGCACAAGGACCCGAGTTCGATTGCCAATACCAAAAACAAAACCCAGGTGAAATCTTATCACACCTCTGCACACTACCCTCTGATTCGTGCTCGTCTCAGTCAGAGAAGCCGGAGTCCTGCATTGTATGCCTCCTCTCATCCCTTTGACCTCCCTCTTTATCGGTACCTACCTCTCTTCTCCTTGCTCTGCTTTAGCTAATGGCCTCTTTTTTAAGGACCCACACAGCTCATATCTTTTCCTCCTTCAAGCCTTTGCCCATTCCAGCGGGCCCCACTCTCACCATTGCATGTAAAATTACAATATTCTAACAAACGGCGGCACATACACATACATACACATAATCCCAGTTACTGGGGAGCCTGAGCCAGGGGGATTTTAAGTTTAAGGCTAGCTTGGCACCTTAATGAGTCTGTGTCTCAAAATTTTAAAAAAGGCTGGAGATATATTTGAGTAGGAAGTAGGAAGGCATCTGAGAAGGCACTGGGTCCCATACCTAGAACCACCAAAGCGGGGAGGAGGCAGAATAAAGTATAAAGAGACAAAAAGATAGAAAACACAAAAGGGAAAGTGGCATAATACCTAACATATGCACCTGGAGTCACAGAAGGAGAATAGGGCAAAAACTAAAAACTAAAGATAATAGAACTTTTAAAAATTAATGAAAGACGGGGCCAGGGATTTAGCTCAGTGGTTCCAGCGCCTGCCTCGCAAGCGCAAGGTCCCAAGTTCGAGCCCCGGTACCCAAAAAAAAAAAAAAAATTAATGAAAGACATTAACCACAACCCTATGAAGGTTAATAAAACATCCAATTAGGCTGTTCTAGCAAAACTATTGAGAAAACAGAAGAAGAGAAATCCTTTAAGCAGCCAAAGTCCCTTTAAAGCCACAACAATTATAAAACTTTTCTACAGTGGGCACTGGGACAGTTGA